GGGGGAGGCGCCGCGGCCGCCCCTTCTCCCACAAGCCCGCGCGGCGCCGGCCCAATGCCGCGCGGCCCGACCCGGAACCGCCGCCCCGCGTCCCTTCCCTTGTCGTCCCCCGCCCGCGCCGCGGCCGCACGGAGCGCGATGCGCRGCGCACCACCGCCAGCTTCCGGCCGGGCCCCTAGAGACCGGGCCCTTAGCAACGGCGGCGCCCGCGGCCGCGCTGAGGTGGCCGCTCCGCCCGCCCTGCTCTCGTCACCTCCGCATCTCGCCCTGTGGAACTGGCTAAAAAAAGCAACAGCAACGAAAAAAGAAAAAAAAAAAAAAAAAAAAAAAAAAAAAACACCTAAACTCCAATTGTTCGTTCGAGCTGCAGGGCCCCGCGGTGACCAGGCACCTGCAGCATCTATGGGGGTCTGAGATGTTCTGTGGATCTTTGTAACATTGCCACAGTTTCACACAGCCCTTTCTTTTCTGTGGTCACTGCTAAGTTTGTTAGCAACCCCATTTCTGTTCCTTTCTCCTATGTGTATGCCCAGGCACGCGCATCCCAATTAAAATTTGAACATGCATGAACACCACACAYCTGGGTTGCGAACGGACCTGGGCAGCTGGAACATTAATGTTTGGGGAGAAGGGCAGAACCAAGCTTTGAGAAGGGTATCAGCAACTGATGGCACAAAGTTTTGTTTCAGAGCATCCTGTTGATGCAAGATCTTGTTGATCATGATGTTGTTGACACATCCTAAGGGATGYTGATACATGCTGTACCTTTCCTAGTGCACCTTGTGCATCAGGGGTGCAAGATACACRGGGAAATAAGAACCGGTGCGTTTGACAGGGGGGGTGGAAAACTCCGTTCCTCCTAGGAAGGGGCAGCCACTCACCCCGAGGGAGAGCAGGGGCTCCCCTGGGGGACACGGGCAGAATCCACCGTCAGGAAAGGGAAGACATGGGCAGGGGGCCAAGGGAGGGGAACGCGGCTCCCGGCCGGTGCTTCCCTCCCGCGGCGGGCGGGCGGGYGGAGCGGGCGGCCCGGAAGGGGTGTCCGCCCGCGCCGTGGCCACCGCCGCCGCCTCGGGGAGCCGCCATGGCGGCCGCCGCCCCTGCCACCCTCCCCGTGCAGCCGGCGGAGCAGCCCAGGTGGGTGGCGGGGGGGCGCCGCCATCTCCTGCGCCGGGGTGGCCGCCGCGCGGGCCTGGGGCGGGGGGCCCTGGAGGCGGCGCCGTTGGYGCTTCCCGCTGCCACGGCCGTGCACAGCGTGTGCCGGGCGGCCCCGAGCGCCCTGCGCCGCGGCCCCCTCTCGTCACCGGCCCCTTTGGCGACACRGGCAGGAGCAGTCCCACATGTTGGCTCCTGCCAGCTCCTCTGCCCACAACCGGCTGGTTTCCGGATGAGGATTTCCCACTGGGCCCGCATCGATGGGGTCGTTTTCTTCCCTTCACGGTGTTGGAGCAGTGTGGGACAGGCCGCACCAACYGCCTTTCCTGCACTGGAGACGGGTGGTTTTTTAAGCTTGGATTGGATCAGATTAAACTTTGAGCCCCCACGAAAGGGCTGGGGAGTTCGGCCTTCCTGGGCTGGGGAGTTCGGCTGTCCCGGCCTGGGATGTGCGAGCTCGGGAGAGAGGCATGTGCTCGATGCTCCCAACATCACGGACACGTGGGAGCCGCCAGCGCCCCGCGCTCCCACAGCCCTCCATGAGGCCCCAGCTCCGGTTGCAGCGGGCGCTTGAGTGGCCAAAGCCCGTGGGCCTGTCCCTGGGCAGGCTTGTAAACCCTCCGTGAACCAAGGGATGCCTTACGCTTAAACATGACTCCATGCTTGTTGTTCTCTCCATGCTCCTGCTGCTTGTTGTCCTCTAGGTACCAACATCGCTGGGAAACAGCTGGGAAACCGGCCTGCCAAGTGCTGGCCCAAAAGGGCCCAAAAGTTAACGTTGCTTCTAGAATCTCCCAACATCTGCACCCCCACGGACTGCCATGTTACCATTAATGTGATCTGGGAAAAGGACTGTGGAATTAAATGGCAGAAATTACTGCTGCTAATTGGGTTATCAACTAGTCAATACGAGGGGAGATTATGAGGAAATGAGGGGACAAAACAATTTGGTTACTGGGCTCSAGCATGGAAAAGTCCAGAAAGATCTGTTAAAGAATTCACAACAAATAATAATTCTTTGTAGTTTTTCTTCTAGAGAAATATTACAAAACATTTGAATATATGTTGTTGGACAATAATGTAGCTCTTACAAAGAAGTACTAACTGAATAATTGACTGAGAAATTTGGTAACATCTGTTTTTTATTGCTGTCATCTTACTTAGCTTTGCATTAATAACTCGGCTTCCAGTTCTAGTTTTAGACTAACAGTAGAAGCCTTAGCAGGGTTCCTGTGACTAGAGTTTTGTTATTAGGCTAAAAGCYCCCCAAATGCTTTTTCCACATTCTTCCATTTTTTAAATTTTAACATTGTGTAAAATATCTGGGATAAAAAAAAAAACTCCACTTCTAAAACTGTTAACATAAATAAACAAACAAACAAACAAACAGATAAACAAATAAGCAAGCAAGCTTCAGGTTTCTCTTGGGCCTTGTGATACAGAAAATTGCATGATTTCCAGAGATGACGTAAAAGCTTCCTGCACCATAGGCAAAATGGACCTTTGGTGCCTTGGCATGAGGAGCCAAGAGCTTGCAGCTCCTGCCACAGSTTGGAAAAGGGCAAAGCGCCTGAAGGGACATTTGGACATAGACAAGTTTTGCTTATCCTGCTCCCACCAGATGCATGGGAAGAAAGGACTTGTAGTTGCCTGCAAATCCCAATGCCCCACAGGAGCCGTTGGTCCCCACTGCCCAACTTTTTCCTCAGCAGTGGCCACAAACAGGTTACAGAGCTCTGSCCCTTGCAGATAATTGGAGACTGGGGTATTTTGGAACTCCAGGCAACTGTTGCYTGCTGTTGGCTAGAACCCACCTAGGAAGAGCACTCGCAGAAAATCAGGGATCTTGCATCCTTTATAAGCAAGCAGGCATATAAACATTGGTTCTTTTTGGATGTCAGAYTCATAAATTTGTTGATGATGTTTTGATTTTAAAACAAACTTATTAACTAGTATATTCTAAACAGTGCCTTCTCCTCTTCTGTCACAAATTACTGTTATGTGAAGAGCTAAAATAAGCAGCTTAATGTAGCTCCTTATGTAACAAAATTTCTGTATTTCAAAAAGCTCCATTTACTTTAAGAATACAGTTTGGATTATAGACTTTCTGCCTTTTATCCAAATATATTCATTCTAAAGGCTTCCAACCTGCTTTTCAGATTGCTGAAGCTGAAGGAGATGTTTATATCAAAATTCGGATCGGTTCCCAAGTTTTATGTTCGTGCACCAGGGCGAGTCAACTTAATAGGTAAAAAAAGAGTATTAATCTTGCGTTATTTTATTTACTATCATGAGAATTTGGTAGTTTATAGAATATATTAATTATCTCTTCTTACTCTTTTTTTTCTCAGAGAAGTTGCTTGTGATTGATGGAAAGTAATAAATGGGAAAGAAAAGATAATGCCCTATTGGGTTTCACTACATAGCATTACACAAAGAACTGCACACTGATCCACTGTAATTGAAGCTACCAAGTATACCCAGTCACAAAACAGTGCATATGATGAGACATGAAATGACTCTGCAATGACCTCTTCTTTCTTACTCTGCCATAGAGAAGTGATCCACTGGCTGCCTGGCAAAACACTATTATTCATTTAGGAATTACCTGTATTTTTTGGCAGCCTTATTTTTGTGATTTTTCTATCCACATTATATCTTTGTTCTCCCTAGAGCTCAATTCCATGTATATTTATAGAGTAAAGCATTCCCTCTGATGACATCAGCAAAGGGATGATCCTAGAAAACAGATTTAAAAATTAATTAATCCATTGTGCAAATAATGATATTTTTTATCTTGGTGTCTGTGAACATGTTATGTAGATTAGAGAGCATATCATATGCTAAGAAAGGTCTTCCTCAGAGAGAGGGTATTTTCTACATACATTTTATATTTGAAAGTTATTTTTCATCTTATATGTAAACTGTATTAATTATTAAGTATAATCACTGTCTTATTGGAAAAAGGTTCAGAAATCATATGTAAAATATTTCCTCCACAAGCCTGAACTAATTGCTGATGAATCATCCAGACTGACAGAGATCACAAAACAAGAAGTCACCTTAAAAAAGCCTTTTTCAGCCCAAAGTGATTGATTCTTTTTTGGTAGTGACATAACACCATACAAATAATGTGATTGTTCATATTACTGGATAATAAGCACAACTTTCATAGTGCTTTTAAAAAAATCATAAGCCAGTGTTAAAACATGAAGATTTATAAAAACAGAAAGGTAATAGACAAAATCACTAAAGAAGTACAAATTCTTGTGTGTTAATATGAAACAGAGGAAATGCATCCAAAACTATCATCTGATTTAAATAATAAAAGAGACTATATGCTCTGAAACCGTCTATGACAGTATACAATACTGCAGAAGCCCTAGTACTAATCTAGAAAGAATTTTTCCAAAATACTGTTAATTGTTTGTTTCTTTTGTAGGAGAACATATAGACTACTGTGGTTATGCTGTGCTCCCTATGGCTATAGAACAAGATATACTGATTGCAGTAGAGCCTGTAAAAACACAAGTTGTGCATCTGGCCAATACAAATCCTTCTTACCAGTAAGTAGTAGTTTTATTTATTCACTAATTCTTAAGAACCCCTTTATGCAGTTGAAATACAGATAACTTTTCAGATTCTGCCAAATCTCTATACTATGATGGAGTTTAAATGGATAAAATGAGTGATAGAAGCAGATGGGATCACATTGACTCTAAATGCCTGTTAGTTTAGAGCACTAGCTCTGCTGCTCCCATCTCCCACCTCTCTGTTTGAGTCTCTATTGTGAAACGTCTRATCTTTCAATCCTGCTAGAGGTGCAACGCTTCTCCTCCTCTTTTAGCTTATCCTTCCTGATGTAATCTTTTCAATTGGCAGTAGTTCAGTTTCTCCTGCAGAAAGGAGTGAAATGTTTTGTAATCAATTACTGCACATGTAAGCCCCCACTCCTCTGCTCCAGAGAACCTGGAGCTATATTTGCACAACACAAAGGCTTTATCTACAGTCCTAGCCCAAATAGAGTACTCTCTCTCTTTTGCACATCCTCCAACAACTGCTTGTTCACAGAACCAGAGAAAAACCTTTGGAGGTTGCTCAAGGCCTTGTCTAGTCATGTGCTGAATAACTCCAGGAATGGAAAATCTATTACCTCTTGGAGCAACCTGCTTTATAGTTTGGCCACCCTCACTGTGAAGAATGTTTTCCTCATGTTTAGTTGGAATTTTCCTTGCTGCCGTTTATGTCTGTTGACTCTTGTCCTTCTCGCAGTATCTCTGAGAAGAATCTGGCTTCGTTTTCTCTATTGGCATGTGATAGGAATTTGAAGACAGGAGTTAGATTCTATAATATACTGCTTCAGGCTGAACACCACCAGCTCTCCCAGCCTCTCCTTTTAYGTTTACATGTTGCATCCTTGTAACCAGCTTAACAGGACTCCACTGCATGCACTGCAGATTGCTAACGCCAATCTCATACTGCAGAGCCCTAAAACTCAACAAGTACTGAACAGAGGGAAAAAATCTGCAATTGGTTTCAACTCCAGCTAGATTTTAGTACCTCATTCCTTGTAAAGTAGTGATATCTGTGCGGTTGCATGGCAGTTCAGGTCACTCAATCACCTGATGGAAGGTTTTTGCAAAAAATCATAACCAGCACAAACTTATATGATTTAATGCAATGGCAAACTACTCCCTGAAAGCAGAGTGCAATTACAAGGTATTTTCACTTCCCTGAGTATAAATACATAAATGCTTTTCCCTCACAGTATGACACATGTTATCACAACATGGCTGAGCTGAATTAAAAGTTTGCCGCTGCCAAAGGGTTGACTTGCTCCTCTCCCTTTTTATCTCTTCAGCCCTGCTTCCAGCTCCAATCCACTCTCTGCCTTTTACCAGGTGTGTTACCTGTGTGATATTAAATAATGTGCCCTAGTAACCCATTTTCTTGCTTGCTTAATTTTCTGTAATTTTAGGGTATGTCTGGCCAAGCTTTTAGCACCAAAGCTGGCGCTGGGTAAGCAATGGGAACATGCAGTAGTGAGTTGGGTGAAGTAATTGGAAGCGAGTGGGATGTATCCCTTTCTGTAATAGTATCCTGCACCATGGCTCAAGTTGTATTGCAAAATTATTCTGCAAGAGTATATAGTTCCAGAATTATAATAGCTTTGATTAGAAAAAGTTATTATAATAGATATTAAATAAAGCAGTAACCAAAACATAAACATTTTTACTTGGCCTTTGTGCTTTGACACATTAGGTAAGAATCAAAAAGACCTTCTCAGTTCATACCAAATCTAGAATTACAGCCTTTGAATTCAAATCCACTATTCAAATGTCACTACATTTTTATATCTGTCTTGGTTTCAGTTTGAGAACATATGGTTTAAACCATCAACCAAGAAGAGCCCTCAGAATACGGCATTCAGCATCTCTTTCATTGAGACACTGTTGCTTAAAAACAAAGCTAAAACATGCCCATAATTTCATAACAAAGAAATATTTTTCAACACTTTGGATGTTACACCACATAACAAACAATTGTTGACAGTCTATCTTTTTTTTCCCAGCCTGTTACACTGATAGATTTATGTCTGTGGTGAATGCATATATAGAGAGCGCTTTGGCTAACGAGCGCTAACCATTACCCTCTGCAGAACTACCATTTCCCGTTTCATTCTTCTTTTCTTAACTGATCTATTGCCCTCTGCCACCCTGACAGTTCCTGTTAACTTTGGAGAAAAACAGAACAGAGAACAGGTTGCAAAAATTACTACTGTGTTTTTCATTATAAATTCCCAAACGATTAGATGCCTTTTTAATATTGCTTAGGCTAAAATATTATTGAAAAGTTGCAACCCCTTGAAGTTCCACGTACCTCCTCTTTACAAAACATCTTTGTAATTGAAAGCTACAGAGAGAGTATCTGGCATGATACTTCTCAAAATACTTTCAGAAATACCACAGGACAATAGTTATGAGTAGATTTCCAGCTCATGGCACAACCTGAAAGTCTTTTGCTAAAAAACAGATCTTTGACAGAGGACTGAAACAGATAAGCTAATACACTGACAGAACAATCATGTTCAGTGAGAAAGAGCCAAATTGTTTTCACCAAAGTAAAGAATAAATAGCACTCAACCATATAAAAACTCCCCTCTTGCAATTTTCCAGATGAATTAGAACACTTCTATTAACACTAGAGATGGGGCAAGCTTTGCCAACAATCTCTGAAAATAAAGAAAACATTATCAAGCTATTTTCATTTTATAGACTTATTTTTCCTTTTTTTTTTTTTTCTTTTTTTACAGTGTTCTTATTTGAACTGCTTGGCTTCCAGTAGGAAGAACAAAGATCAGAATTAAGATTTAAGATGAAGTTTAGGCATTTAGGAATTGTTTTTTATAGCAACTTAAATGTGACAACCAAAAGCTGGACTTGAGGATTTAGTGGACCTTGTCAGTCCTGTGTTTGTATGAAATATGTCCAGGTGAAATCCATCAGATTCAAAGTGAACTTTGCTTTCCTGTGTGAGAGGATTGCAGAAATAATCAACATACATTCTAAGAAGTAATTTTTCTTTATCATGAGCAAACAGCAAAGGTAACCACAGTAGATATCTTCTCATTAATTTAGGTTTTCTTGTTCGATTCTATAAAAAGAAGCAAGCAGACGAAATATTCTAGAGTCCTTTTTGGAGTGGCTTAAAATTGATCTCGTGTTAATCACATTTACATATTTATTGTTATCACCCTTGCTTTTCTGCAAGAGTAATTTAAGATTATTGTAGAAAGCAAGTACATTCAAGCACATAATTGTTTTATTGCTCATGACTTTAGAAAACTATTTTCTGTTCTATCTTGCCAGTACTTCTGTTTTCTGAGCATACCCAGAAGTTACAAGCAAAAAGATTTTCTTTTATCCTCTAGGAAATTGTTCCAAGACTCATGAATCTCATACTGGAAGAATTTATTGGTATTCCTGAACTCTCCTATTCCTGAACTTCAAGGGGTTGCAATCTCAGTACTGCCTTTTGTTGTCGCGCTAGAAACCCAGTAATTTCTCAGCGCTAACTCAACAATTCATTGATGCTGCACTGTTCATAATGTCCCATAAGTGGCACTATTTTCAACAGCTGAGATTGAAATGTCAGCAAATTATACCTTAAACTGTAGCAATCTCTGATATTCCTGCACCAAAATGAACACTGACATTCAATATCTGACTGAAAAAAGAGGTTAATTTTAAGTTGCTATTTGAAGTGTTTGGTCTGCTGTGTCATGTTGACCTACCAGTAGGCTCTAGACTGGCAGGGCAAGTAGCTCTCTATGGTATAGCTAGCATGGGAGCAGATAAAGAGAATGCAGGATTTAGGTCCCATTTTATTCTGGTTATCAGACTTTAAGTTTGCATCATCACAAAAAAATGCACTGTACCTGCAATTACTGTACCTGCATAAAGTAAAGCTTTCAGGCATAACTGAGGGTGGCTATATCATTGTAAAGGTGTTTTACAGTAGTATAACTGTTTCTTCATAGGAAGGGAATATTTTTCTGATAAAGAGACCTACATGCTGATATTCATTACAGATATTAGCTAACATTACTATTTTGCGTAAAAATAAGAAAGGCACATCACAAACTTGCATAGTTTTACAGGTACAGAGTAGAACTAGCATAAGAAAAGGAAATTCTAGTCTTGTGTAAGTTGTGAAGTATCTCCTTCCTTAAAATTACTGTCTTTTTTTTTTTTTTTTTTTTTTTTTTTTTTACCATTGGGCCTAAATATTTCCAAGGAATTCAGCTACCTCCTTTTCATATTGCATTGCATGACACAGTGCCCTTTCAAGCAAAACTTAGCCTGCAGGATTTGAACAATTGTCCTTAGCTTTTCCTGACATTCTCAGTGCCTCTGTTCTGTCTAGATTGGGTATCTGTTCTATTGATATCAGACAGACGTAGCTATTGGGAGTTTGACTTCTAAGCAGTCTGCACTTTGGGGAGATTAATGTATGCATCTAAAAGTTTTGCTTCTATTAAAAAAAAAAGCTAAATAATTGATTAATAAAGAAGAGCTATAGGGAAAGAACTAATAAATATTTAACTAAAAAAAATTGTTGTCATAGGAATGTTTCTGTTCAGCAGAAGGTGGCAGTAATAAGCCATGTTTTTCTAACTGAATTTACTGACAAGTTAAAGCATTAAGGTATTTCTGTTTTTTTAGAGATTTCAGTACCAGTGCTAATAACATTGAGATTAACAAAACAAAACCTCTATGGCATAACTACTTTCTGTGTGGACTGAAGGGTATTCAGGTAAGCCAAATCCATTTAATTTTTGAAATTAATGTAGAAATAAAATATGACAAGCATAACATCTATTCACCCTGAAAATATTCCCTTGCATTTTGTAGGTTTTCTTGACATACTTTCAGAATTTACTTTTACTATCAGAATGTAATCAGAATTACTATCAGAATGTAATTTCTGCATTTTAAAATTTAAAATAATATTTATCAGTAAAATCTGGTTAAAAATGCTTTAAAAAAGGTTTGGAGCCTTGGCAGTCAGGAACTGAAGATCCTATTTTAGTTTTTTTTCCTCCTATGGAAATGTTTTAAGATATGTAATTAATTTCCACTGATGCTGACAGCATCCAACTAGGGTACAACAGCTGAGCAAAGCTGACTCATGYAGAAGGCAAAAGAATTGTAAAAAATAAACACAATATCCTTAAGGAACATTCCAGTAGGAACTGTTACTTATCCAGGTTTACAATGTGTGGAATATGAATGGGATTTTTTCCAGATTTCCCAAGGGAGTTAAGAGCAGAGCTATGCAGGAAATGGTGTGCTTATGGAAGGGGCTGGAGCACTCACCAGACAACATTTTCCTGTCTGCTCATTTGAGCTTTATCTTCTCCTCTGTGAAGCAGCCTGGCTCAGGACTGGCTCGGAGCCTGAGTGGCCCGTGAAAGCGAGGGCTCCGTGTCCGTCTTGTCCCGGGAGAAAGCCTGGAATGCAGAGCAGAGACTCTCTATAAATCTCACTTGCCCATTGCAGGTGATTCATGGCTCCTCTAGGAAAAAAGATACAGTGTGTTTTCAACCTCGTATCAGTCCTGTGTCATTTCTCAAAGGACAGATGGGATAAACAGCAATGGCAAGGCCAGGATCAGGTCGCTATAGCCAGCCCAYGTTGGGGGTAAATGTGCCTTTTAAAGTACATGAAACTTGCCCCTTGACAGACTGTCTGGGCCACACCACAGCATGATCTAAGAGATAAGCAGTGCAGACAGCCATCAAAGCCAGCCTCACACCTGGCATTCATGTCCTCAAATACAATATTTGGAACAACCAGTGAGACAAATCACTCTATTATTACTCACAGATCCTAAACTAACACCCTTCTATCTTTAATAAAAGACTCAGTAAATGAGTCATCTCTGCAGTAAGATGAATATTTTCAAATCTGTAATTACTGCATTATGCATATGAATTGTATCAATTGTACAGATACAGGTTAGTTTTCTTTAAACTGTATCTTCTATTAAAACTATCATGACCAATTCACTTACTTTGCAGACTGCTACCGAGATTTGTTTCCTAAAGTAAGTTTTTATACTTCAAGGTTAATTGGCAAAGCAGGTTTTCAGACTCAAATTTTGGCAGAAAGTAAGCATAAATGTTACAGACTTAAGAAACACTGAAATACAAGTACTCAGAGGGTCCAGCAGGATAATCTGTTTATATTAAGTTGAACATGCTATCCTTTCGGGACAGAACTATTGCAGAAATTGGCAAAGTCCATTTTCATTTTTGAAACTGAAGTGCATTTTCTATTTAAACATCGCGTGATAAGTTTGCAAGCTGATTCACATTCAAGACAATCCAGAAACTGGATCAGTTTCTGGTTACTTGAACATTTTCTTTTTCTGAACAAGCCTCTCCAGGATTCTTCATAAAGGGGCATGGGCAGCACTTATATTTCAGGTACAAGATCTCTTGAATTTGTAGGAAGGGAAATTCAAAATAATATGAAATGATAACAGAATGGTAGAAGATATCAAAGATCTTTGTGTTTCTTGATTTCAGCCAGTGTTGTTTATGGCTGAAGCTGTTTCAGGCAAAGTATTAGAAATCTTTTGAAGGTGAACATTTTTGTATAGAAACATTGCCATTTTCTGATTGCTGACATTTTAACACAGTTTATGTATAAATCTGAATCAGATTTGAATCTGAATTGATGTATAAATCTGTTCATATACCCCCTATATATGTTAAAAGCACTGTATGTTTACTGCAAGCTAACTTGAGAGAGAAATTTATATTAAAATTATGCTGAAAGAAAAGACAAAACAAATAAGGACTAATTAAAAGAACATGTGCTCAAGGACCTAGGATTTCTGAATTAAATATGTTATTTGTGATATTTACTGTGTGTGTAACAGTGTATCTTACTTTATTCTAAATATAGCAGGACAGACATCACCACTGCTGGTTAAGTCTGTCTTAGTGCATCCTAGAGCGTACCTGCCTTCAAGGAGCTTTGTGGTGTTCCCAGCCCCAGYCCTGGGGTGCCTCAGACAACAGGGGAATTTGGCTTTGAATGCAGCTTCTTGGCCACTGGTTCCCCATCAGCCTGACGTAGTTCCCTAAAATGGCAGGGAGATTGAGAGAAGTGAAGCATGAAGCAGACCTCAAGCTCTTTGGGATGCATTAAGTGAGGAGCAGAGGAGGAGAAAATGGCAAAAAGTAGGCTATAAAAAGATTGGTAACCACTGTCATGTTCTTTGTCACTACGGCAGCTCAGAGCTGAGCCAGTACTGCAGAACCCACCCACGAAGTTTGGTAAATTCTTGGGCATTTAGCCCATACTGAGTTGTGTGTGGGGTACAGCTCTGTCAGCTCGTGTACATTTGTGTACAGGAATTGCAGACATACCTTTGGCTGAAGCCACACCATTGGCTTTGATTTTAAGGAATAGAATGAAAATTTCTTTTTTTCTTTTTTTTTTTTTTTTTTTTTCTGGGACACCAGAAGCAGGTCCTTGATTCCAGCAGCTCAGCAGAAAGATTCTCTTTCTAAGTATCAGATAATTGCAAGCCTGAGCCTGTCTGTACTTGAAACTGAGATTGTTTATTTTTTCATTGTTAGGAACATTTTGGTCTTAATAACCCAACTGGAATGAATTGTCTGCTAGATGGAACCATCCCTCCAAGTTCTGGTCTCTCTAGCTCCAGTGCTTTGGTGTGTTGTGCAGGACTCGTGACACTAAGAGCTAATGGAAAAACCCTCTCTAAGGTAATTTACTGTAAAACACAAGAGTGTCGGCAGTAAAAATCTACTTAAAATTAAATATTGTTAATGCCTGTAAACATTAAAAACACGATACAATTGTTTTTGCAAAGAGTTGTTGGATATAAACTTAAGATATTGCACAATTGAGCAAACATCTTTGGCCAAATTTTGGCAGGATTTGAAATTGGCAAGAAAACAGGCTTACATTAAAGCTGAAAAAGGAGCATTATTGTAAGCCTGTATGTTGGCCAACCATCAGGTCCATGCCTGGACCAGATGTGCTATCTGCAGGCCAGGGCTGAGGATATATGTGCTAAAGCATGTGGACCACACCCCCGAGGCCTTCACCCTCGCCCTGAGTGACTTCTCATGGCACTGACAGAAGAGCATCTGCTGTAGGCCTGTGGAAAAATTTCTTGATAAATTATATAATCAGCCCAAAGCAGAGGTAAAATTCTTCCATCTGACTCTCCTTATTCTCTTCACAGTTTTTGGAATGAGCATATTTACAGTGCAAAGTGTATTCCCATTTTTTTAAGCAAACATTAGTCTTAAAGGAAACCCCAGCCATGTGACCATTACAACCGTTACTAGAATTTGGCTCACGTATCACAGATTTCTGGTCCTTGAAGGTGCCATATGGGCAATAAAGTTCTCTCCAGTACAAGTGTCTGGTTAAGTGAAACTAGAATCTAAAGTTAGAATACTGTCAGGAAGAGAACTGATCTAAATGTGACTGCTGGGCATTTTTTGCCTATTGTGTGAGTCATTCCCGARCTGTGGTACCAAACTGATTTAAAGTGGTACTTCCTGATGGTAGCTGTTTGTGTACAAACAGGTGAGGGACTCTGCTTGTGTACAAGCACCTACCTGAGCCATGAGGTAAGGGCTCCCATGCATAAAGCTTTTGGTAATCAGTTGTGACTTCTGTACCCAGGAGCAGCTCCCYGCTCAGTGCTAAGTGCTGCATCCCACATTGCACAGCTCGCAGGGCTTTCTTCAGGAAGAATCAAGCAGCTTAAGGCAGCAAGAGGCATGACTGCCTTGGTGGGTTGGACTTTTGTTGTAGGAGAATGTAGCTGCAGTCACATTGGCCTGCTCTGTGCTGGTGTGATTTCTGGTAAGTAAAGAATTGGACATTTAGCGGAGGCTCCAATCTGCAAGGTGAGGTGTGTAGTTCAGTTGCTGGTGAAGGCAGGGAATTGGGACTCCTGCTTTGAGGGGTGAGACTTTGCAGGAATAGGGTTGGAACTGATAAATGTGCTTTTTCAGGTGTATGTGTACGTGGCCTGTCAAGAAGGTCCTGTTTCTACAAAGAGGCTGACATCTCCTTCTCTGGTGGTGACAACTAAATAAGCTGAACTGGGGAACCCCTGATCAAAGTCACTGCAGTGCTGTACGTTCAGAGAGAAGTTGGGTGTCTGCAAAATCCATAAACCTGACAGAGGTCAGAAAGCCCAAATTTTACTAGGTAGTAGAAATCTGTAACTGGAAAACCAGAAGCCAGGTTTTCATTGTGCCAAGAAAGACTGGACTGCTTYCTTCAGAGACTGAGCGTTACAGCACTCATCTTGAGCTAAATTTACACATAGCCTGAGAGTATTGGTCGGCATTATGCCAGGCCGGTCCTAAAGAGAGGTGCAAAACTTCTTCTGGTGCTTTTACAGAAAATTATGGAGGAACAAATAGAAAACAGAGCCTCCACCAAATGACTTTTCCTTCTCATGTGTCCTGTTCAATCAACCCAAAATCTCTCTAGCTTTCTGGTTGGAAAATGTGATGACAGTTAATCCTGTGTCTCAAATATAATTGTACAATCGCAAGGGAMACAACTCCGCACATTTGTCAGGAAGTCCTGCTGAATCCTGCTGTCTACTGCCAAACATTTTACACTTGCAATGAAAAGTAAGTAATTAACATACAGATGAGAATTCCCAATAGCCAACAGATGAGGAGTTAAGAACACTTCTGATGTTTTGTGTCCTTACATAGACCAAGACACCTGATTATGGTGGATAAGAGAGAGGTTGGCAGCCCTGAAGACTGATTGCTTTTGTCCAGGCTTTAAGGTTCCCCCAAATCATACTGGGCAGTAAAAGCAAGAAGTCTAGTATTGTGAGTCAATTTATGATTTAGCTTTGGAGACCTTTTACATTTGTTAAATGTCAGTTCTCTGTTCCACAGAATTTATACTTAGCCTTGTAGAGCTCTTATTTATAAGAAAGTGCTAGCCTGAGTATAAATTAGAGCCATCTAGGCATGTAAGACCTCAGAAATATGAAATGGGGTCTGTCCCCTTCTTTCCAGCTCCTCATGCATCCCATGCTGGTGTCAAATGATCTGGTAATGCTGGCTGGGTATCAACTGGGAGCTCCTCTGATGCAGGGAGATTCTTAGCTGACCAGAAGTAGGGATTTTCCAGAGCCTTCCTAATAGAAAGCAAACTAGGAGCTTGCACTTTAAGGGCTTTGGATATTAATGTGCTCATTACTTTTTAAGGAAGAAATACTGCTTTCCCTCTCCCATACTTTTTTCTTTCCCTCAAATGTTTAGAGTTGCGAAAGTTGTAAGTGGTAATATTTATAWGTTACAATATTTGGTGACTGAGGTGGATTGTCTCAGTAATTTTATGAGAAAAGATTGACTTTTTGCCCCTCATTAATCTGATGGACTTTGCAAAATCTTAATACTGTGGTCTGCAGAAGCGGAACAAGGACACTTCTGGCTTTAGAATCAAATTTGGCTGAATGGGAGGGCTTCTGTAGCCAAAGTTATGAAGGATTGACCTTTTACTGAATGGAACATTTATCTGTCTTGTTTCCGTGAAACTATTTTTATTAGAATATTTGAGTTATATTTGTGCTCTTTCCTGATAAATGTAAGTTTAAAATAGCTGTAGAGTAAAAGCGGTTCAGATTTAGAGCTTTTATTTGATAATATCTTCAGTGTGAATTTGGGCCTGTGACATTAGGAGACAAGAAAAATGCAAAATGCAAAACATTGTAAAAACATAGCTACAATGTCATGGTGGCATACTTTAAAAATAGCACTTTTTGACGTCGAAAACAAAATCAGAAAAAAAAATGTGCTCTCACTAATTATTGTGTGTAGCAGCCTGCAATAGGGCATTGTTTCAGTTTGCATACAATATTTTTTTAAAAACCCATCACACACATACACAATAGTTTAGGGAAAATACCAATCCAAGACAATTCAGCCAGATGTGCAGTGCTAACCAGTTGCAGCAGTGCAATAGTATTCAAATAACAAGATGGAAAATTTAGAATGAGAATCCCTTCTCTTTTCTTTGAACAGAATTCCATTCTAAAACTGTGTTGGCATTGCCCAGAGAATAGCAATGCTCAGTATTAGCTTTTTATTTTAAAGTGATTTTTATTTTCTTGTTGCAAAATGAATCTTTTGTACAACTTTTCATCATGAAAAGATACTGTTTTTTACAAAGGAAACAGAGCAATGTTATAAATTGCCCCAGCTTTGTGTTTCATGGTAGAAATTAATTAGTACAGAAAATCATTTAGAACTTTTGAATTACTTGGATTTACTTGAGGGATGTGATGATACTGTTGCTCTACAAACATTAAATCCTCTGGTACTAAGGTCTGTTAACCATCCCTCATATTTCTTCTGTTGCTTAAGGCTGGGCAGCTCTGTACATCATTACTAATTAGGAAAATTAGAGCAAAACTAAATACAGTTAATTTAAGGTGAAATGTTGAACACAGAAGGTTGAATAATATTTGGGTCTGTTTAGTCTGAGAAAAATCTAAGACTGACCAAATTATCAAACAGGACCTAAATTATTAAGTTTGACTGCTTTTGTAATCGTGTGGAAATGGAGCACTTTGAAGCAACAATAATAAAAAGCCATAATCTTTCATCAACAAATTGATAACCTTCTATTCAAATTTGTTAGAGGACAGGTTAAGTGAAGCTAAGATGACTGTGCTTATAAGAATATTGAAATCATATCTGATAAATATTTTCCTACATCTTAAAAAATGCATAATTACTTTGAAATACATATATGAAAATTAACTAATTGGGAGGTGTATGCAAACTGGAAACATATGGTAACTTTCAGCAATCAATTCCTAGTCAAGATTACATATTAAGAACTAGGGCACATCTGATATAAAAAAAAAAAAAGGAAAAATTAGGCATAATTTAATATCTTGATTGTCTGAAACATAGTGCCTTATAGGGAGATACACACACAGAGAAACTGAAAAATAAAAAATGTAATCTGCTTTAAATATGCCTTAAGTGATAGAGAATGTTTTCTTTTTAATCTAAACTCATATTTATCTGTAAATTTATCTTCTAAATTCCCAGTCCTATATGCTGCGAACCAACTTGTTCATAGAAAATCTACACTATAAAATGGCCAAAATTTTCCGTTTCATGAGGAAGTGATAGAATGAGTCTGACTTTTAAAATTAAACTGGACAAAATGATAATGAATGTGCATTAAAGAACCATTACTGTCTTGGCACAGACAGTCTAAAAGGGCTTACAGGGCTCCTCTGTATTTTGGCTCTGCACTTCTGTAGATACTTAAATATTGAAACTGTTCAAATTCGCCTGCTGAGTAGACTTTTGGAGCACTAAAAGCAGCCATCTAAAAATAACTTGGAATTATTTTCTTCATGGAGCTTCACTTCTTGAACAGTAAAATTCAAAACAGAAAGAAAATGTTTATTGATTTTAAAGGTCAGCTATAACTTTTTGTGCATTGTTATATGTAGAAAATCTAGCACATTTACCTTTAGCTGAAATTTACCTATATAAAACCACTGAAGTAGATGCAATTTAATCCTTTTATAGATAAAGCTCCTCTATTTTGGTCGCCATCATTCTGGGTTTGTATAGATTAAGTTTCTGGGTAATGTAGGGTAAGCTATTCCAAAAAAGTACTAAGCAACACTAATTCTGTTTTACTAACAAATATTTGACTGTCTCCTGCTCACTAATTGTCTTGCTCT